AAAAAAAAAAAAAAAAAAAGCGTGGAGAGAGACTATGGCACAGGCAGCCCCACACCCAGGGCAGCCAACACTCAGAGGATGGGATGAGGCGTTGGAACATCCGGAGGGCTGCTGGCCCCACCTGGACCATTACCTCATTCCAGACTGTGGCCACCTGTGTCTGCTCAGAGCTTGTCTCAGAATAAGCCTGTTCCTAACTTCAGTGTGGCCTCTGGTTTCTCCTTTCTAGATGTGGAGAGGCATTAGCCTATTACCTTGTCTTGGCTATGGGTAGAAAGACATTATTTCCCAGTAAAAAGATTTCCCAAGGAAACAACAGACCTGCTTCTCTGCTGTAGGGTTTTTTAACCTCAGTTTGCTTGGGTTCACATGCCAGTTTAGCCACTCATCTTAACTGTGGTTAAGGTATTTAATTTCTCTGTGCCTCAGTTTCCTCACATTTAAAATAAGGATAATAAAAGTGTCAACTCCACTGGGTTCCCATGAAGATTAAACGGCTAATGTTTGTGAATCTCTTAGAACATCACCTGGCACAGTAGAAGTACTTTATGTGTTAGCCGCCTATCTGGTCCTCATCATTACCATAAACATCACCATCTTTATCATCAGTCTCCAGTCACTTTTAAGTTCCACGTTGTACTTTATGCTTTGGGGGAAAAGACCGCATGTCTAGACTTTGCCACTGGAATTCTCTCTTGCATTTTGGCCAACCGTGTCACTTTGCGTATGGAGAAGGAAAAAAAATCCTTTGCGGCTTCTCTGGTTGTCAGGCTCAGCCAGGACTCAGGAAGGACGATTTTTGTCTATGTTGCCCCAAGCCAAGCCCGGAAATGAGTTTTACTGTGACAAATTACCGTGGTAATCCGCCCATTTTGCCTCAAGCAACCTTCCTTGTAAAGAGCCCCCTAGACACGATTAGCTTATTCTCCAATCCGGCTTACCTGATCCTTCTCTTTCCACCTTGAAATACTTCTCATTCGTCAGACATGGACAAGAGCAGGATAAAGGGCTCACTCTGATTCCCACCATATATATGGATGTTTGTCACGAAGAGTGTACAATAGGGCAAGAAACAGGCAAAAGGGACCACATTAGGGCTCCCAATAACACAAAAATTTAAATTTATAAAACATCATGCACTTTAGCACAAAGGTTCTTAGCTTTTTCTGCCGTTAAAGTTGCCTGTGGAGCTTTTAAAATTCTTGATGCACATGCCAATTCCCAGACCAAGTATATCAGAGTCTCCTGGGGCAGGACCCTGATATCCCAGGCAGTGGAAGCCAGTGTGAGCACCTTGCTACCCAAAGCATAGTCTATGGATCAGAAGCCACTTGGCCACTTGTTAGAAAAGCAAAACCTGAAGCCCCACTCTCGACCTACTGAATCAGAATCTATATTTCAACAAGATCTCAGGTGACGAATATGCACTCTGAAGTGTTAAAAACATGGATTAACAACCTGGTACTCAAACATGGTTGCACTATGGAATCACCTGGAGAGCTGGAAAATAATAATGATGCCTCGATTTACACAACTCACTCAGTCAGACCATCATGCAAGTCCTGGACAAATCACACTAAAAATTTACTTTAACTTCAACAATTATTGAATCAACAGTTGCTGATTACACACACACACAGGATTTTGTCCATTCCGCTATTTTATCACAAACTGGTTTGTTTTATAACATGAGTTGTCAAACTACAGCCCACGACCCAAATCCAGATTTTTGTATCTATATTCATAAGGGATATTGGTCGGTAGTATTGTTGGGATGCCTTTTTTTGAATCTGCTGTATTACCTCAGGGAAATTGTTAGAAAATGTTCCCTGTCGTATTTTTCAGAAAAGTTTGCAAAGAATAAGTATTAATTCTTCTTTAAATACGTCATAGAGTTCACCTGTGACATCATTTGGGCCTGGGCTTTTGATTGTGGGAAGTTTTAAAATTACTATTTTAATCACTTCACCTAGTATAGGTCTATTCACATAATTCTAGTTCTTCTTGAGTCAGTTTCTGTAGTTTGTGTCTTCCTAGCAGTTTCTCCATTTCATCTAGGTGGCGTACCTAGTTCTGGGTCATAGTATTCCCTTATATGTAATTATCTAACGCAGATAAACTCCTGATTTTAATAATTTGTTTTCTCTTTTATTTCTTCTTGTACAGTCTACACAGAGGCTGCTGTTTGAGTTTATAAAGAACCTCCTTTGATTTTTTTGATTATTTCTATTGCTTTTCTGTCCTACATTGCGTCTATTTCTGCTCTAATCTTTAATATTTCCTTACTTCTGCTTCCTTTGAATGTAGTTGGCTGTCATCTTTTTATTTTTTTTTTAATTTGGAAAATGATATAATGTGACATCTTCTTTCTTTTATATAAGCATTTACAGCTATACATTTCTCTTTAAACACTGCATTTACTACATCCCATACGTTTTGGTATACTGTGTTTCTTTTTCATCCATCTCAAAGTATTTTGTAATTTCCCATGTAATCTCTTCCTTGACCCATTGGTTATTTACAAGTTTGCGGTTTAATTTCCAGACATTTGTGAATTTCCTTATTGATACACATATCATAAGATTTCATTTCTTTATTGATACACATAGTTGTGTATTCTCTTACTGATTTCTAATTTTGTTCCATTTTGCTCAAAAAATATTATTTGCAAGAGTGTAATCCTCTTAACTTTATTGAGGCTTGTCCTAATATATTGTATCAACTGTATCTTGGAGCGTATCTCATAGGTGCTTGGGTAGAATGAGTATTCATCTGTTGTTGGGTGCAGTGTTCAATACATATTCGTTAGGTCTAGTTGGTTTATAGTTTTAGTAAAGTCTTCTACTTCTTTGTTGCTTTTCTTCCTAGTTATTCTACTAGGGAAAGTGGGAATCGAAGACTCCAACCATTATTTCTGACTTAGCTATGTCACCCTTCTACTGTGTCAGTTTTTGTTTCATGCATCTGAGACTCTTTAGTTATGTGTATGTTTGTTTATAATGTTATCTCTTCCTGATGATTTGGGCCTTTTACCATTATAAATTGTTTCCCTTTGCACATAGTAATAGTTTTTGTCTTAAAAAATATATTTTTTTTTCCTGAAATGAGTATAGCTACTCCCACTCTTTTGTTCAGTCTTTGCATATCTTCCTTATTCTTTACATTTTCAGTTTGTATCTCTCAATATAATGTGTATCTCATGTCGATAGTATGTAATTGGCTCTCCTTTTTTACCCCTTGTGACAATATCTGTCTTTTGACTAGAGAGTTTATTTACTTTTAATATTATTATAGATATGGTTGATTTATGTCTGCCATATTGCTATAGGTTTTCTGTACATCTCATGTCTTTTTTGTTTCCCTGATCTTCCTCTACTCTGTTTGTATGAAATAGATATTTCCCTATTTTACCTTTTTCTTTTCTTTTTTTTTTTTTGCGGTACGCGGGCCTCTCACTGTTGTGGCCTCTCCCGTTGCGGAGCACAGGCTCCGGACGCGCAGGCTCAGTGGCCATGGCTCACGGGCCCAGCCGCTCCATGGCATGTGGGATCTTCCTGGACTGGGGCACGAACCCGTGTCCCCTGCATCGGCAGGCGGACTCTCAACCACTGCACCACCAGAGAAGCCCCCTATTTTACCTTTTTAATTCATTTGTTGGTTTGCTTTCTTATGTTTTAGTTGTTTAGTGAGTGCTCTAGGGATTACAATGTGTATCTTACCACAACCTATGTTTCACCTTAATACTAATACCTTCCAGTAAAACCCGGAAACTTTCTTCCAGCTTCCTTCCACTCCTTACACCTTCTTTGTGCTGCTACTCTCATAGACATCTATATATGGTACAAATCCAACAACAAAATGCGTTAATTATTATAATTATGAATTCTCTTTAAAAACAACTAAAAAAAGGAGAAAAATATTTCTACAGTGTTTTATATTTAATTAACTTTATCTGTGGTCCTTCTTTCTTTGTGTGTATTCTACTTACGGCCCAGTGTTATTTCCTTTCAAATGGGGTAACTCTTGTGAACTTTTTTAAAAGACAAGGTTCTGGACTTCCCTGGATGGCGCAGTGGTTAAGAATCTGCCTGCCAATGCAGGGGACAGGGGGTCGAGCCCTGCTCCGGGAAGACCCCACAGGCCGCGGAGCAACTAAGCCCTAGCACCACAACTACTGACGCTCGCGTGCCTAGAGCCCATGCTCCGCAACAGGGGAAACCACCACAATGAGAAGCCCGCGCACCACAACGAAGAGCAGCCCCCACTCGCCGCAACTAGAGAAAGCCCGTGCGCAGCAACTAAGACCCAAAGCAGCCAAAAATAAATAAATAAATTTATTTTTTAAAAAAACAAGGTTC